ACACTAATAGAAATTCCACTATCTCACTCAGGTACGCTTTTCAGAAGATGTCAACTGAGCATCCGTCGGTGGTTTTCGTCAAGATTGATGTTGATGAAACCGTAGGTTCCCAGAAATCAGCATTTTCTAGAATTTTTCGATTTCTTCGAATGCCTCATTAAAAATGTTCCAGGAAGATGTCGTCTCACGTTTCGATATCAAAGTAATGCCCACATTCATTTTTATGCGCAACGGAGCACAAATTGTGAGCAATTCAATTGTATTTGGAATTCCACTAATCCTTTATTGACTATTTTGGAGGAAAAAAGATTAGAGCAACACTACTAGAAAGGAGAGGTGTCTCCTGTGAGAAAGCCGAAGTGAAATCCGGATCTGAAGGGTTTGAAAACTCACTGGGGAACAAGACGAGCGCTTAAAGGATTATCTGTAAAGGGCGTGGGTCAGGAGATCAGAGTTGCCGCTGATAAATTATGATCAGTTTCTTTCCGCTGTTGTGCTCCACTCTCCTTGATGTCACGGTTCAGCATAAGCATGTGATTACCACCGGATGCCGGTCAACGCATCCGAATAGCAGCGGCGTAAGAAAAGTGGCCTTATACACAGTCGATTCAGTCGCGGCGATTTCAAGAGAAACGGAACGAGCCCACCTGTGGTCTTTTCATCACTAATCAATCCCTGCTAATAGAGCATAATGGCGACATTATCAGCGATAAGTGACCACCTGATCGTGTGCGTGGAAGCCCAACAAAAGTGAGCAGGTTCTACAGTAAGACGTGTCATTCAGGGCAGACCCCAGAGGGTTTTCAACCCGCATCTGTCGTTTGAGAAATGGAAGCGCTAACCATTGCGCCACTAGAGCCGCTCTCACGCTCTCAGCCCAATGACTTTTTGAGCCTTAACCTGGTTAGGCTGCGTTTATACTTTGCGGCAGCGTAGCGCAGCGTAGCGTAGCGCTTCCAGCGTACGCCAGCGGCAGTGCCGGGGAGAGGATGCATATCGATCTAGCAGCGTCACCAGCGTCACGCTAGCGTACGCCAGCGTTTCTCCAGCGTTTCACCAGCGTTTTGCTAGCGTTTGCAGCGGCAGGGGAGTAGAGACTATGGGAGAGCTGGAGGGTACAAAACACATCGATTGCGCGTCTCTCACTCGCCCTTAGTCTCTACAATGCACATCGATTTCTGCGGCCACATCGCTTCTGCGTCTCCGACGGGGCTAATGCCGTTTGGACTCCAGCAACTTCGGCACCGAGCTCATTTTTAAATTGCCTAAGTTACCAAATCCGCTAAAAACTTGTATGTAGGGGTAGTTTAACATCCTGATTACGAATATGACATTCACTCTTGCCGCTGGCGCTAATGGAATGACACTCTACGAATTACCTGCGCTCGCTGAAGGTTCTGAGCCCAAAAGGTAATCGTAGTGTCATCCCTTGGCGCCAGCGCCAAGAATGAGTGTCATAATTGTAATCAGGATGGTAAATAACCCTTGTGTACATATTTTCAGCGGGTTTGGCGACTTAGGTAATTTAAAAATGAGCTCGGTGCCGAAGTTGCTGGAGTCCAAACACGGCATTAAGGCCCTTCCGGAATGGCCACATCAGTCTCGTACATTACACGTGTCGATTCCCGCGTGCTCTGACGTCACAGAGTCTCTACTCCACACATCGATTCCGCAGTCTCCTGCGGACCACTAGAATCTTACAATACACGTCGATTCCGCGTCTCTCACGGCCACATAGTCTCTACTCCCTGCCGCTGCAAGCGCTAGCAAAACGCTGGTGCCGCTGGAGAAACGCTCGAGAAACGCTGGTGAAGCTAGATCGATAGCTATGCTTCCCGTGCCCTCGCTACGCCAGCGTGCCGCTGGTGACGCTGGTGAAGCTAGATCGATATGCATCCTCTCTTCGGCACTGCCGCTGGCGTACGCTGGAAGCGCTACGCTACGCTGCCGCAAAGTATAAACGCAGCCTTAGCGCACTCGTTCGGTATGAGAGAGAAGCAGATTCGAGTCCTGTCTGGGGCCTGACTTTTGCTCACAACTCAGCATTTACGATAATTTTCGGAGCGCGAATTGCAGCGTTAAACAGCGGTTATTATACTAAAAAAACTCAGTACAATTATGTTTTCATTTAATGCACTGCCACTTTCAGGACATCGTCGAAGGCAGTCTTGAGGACGATCTGCGTCGAAAAATCGAACAACACAAGTGAAATAATCCAGACAGGGCTGTGCTCAAACTTTGTGTTT